CCTCTGTAGGATAGAACCTAAAACCTGGTGCCACCCGATCATCCATTGCTCGTTGCAACTCTCTCTCTCTCTCTCTAAATACCGATCTTGGTCCTAACTCAGTCCTGGGTTTTCAGTGGACGGGATAAACTCATTTTTACCTGTGTGTGTATATATAGAGAGAGAATTGTGATGGAGGTTAAGGTGCAGCAGCAGATTGGGATGGGGGAGAAATTGTGGGAGTAATGACTGGCGTTGTTGGAAATTTCGACCCGCATACAAGAGAAGGAAATAAGTTGTGTTCCCATTTTATTTTTCAACGCCGTGAACGCTGCTTGAATTGGTCAATTCTTCATGCAGCAGCCTCATTCGTTTTCTCATCAATTCCACTGCAAAAGACGAAAAGGAAATTATAATTAAAAACAAATAATATCTATAATATATTAAGAGCTTGTTTGGGAGAGATTTTTGGAGGAAGAATTGATTTTGAATAGTGATATGATGGGAAATGTGTGGTAGAAAAAGAAGAAAAAGTTATTGATGTGATGGAAAATATTATTTTATTGAAGAATGTGTGGTTGAAAATGAGAATTGATTTACTGTAGAAAAATTTAACCTCTCCCAAACAGGGCTTAAATATCACATTAAGTGAGAATCATTATTTGGACGATTCTAACCCTACTAAAATTCAATTATTTCAATTATACCTCACTTTTCATTTTTTAATATGTATTTAATTTATTTAATCATTTAGTTACTTTGACATATTCATTTCGCTGTGTGTTTTTATTAATATCACAAACATGTCTTTAAACATTGTATGTTGGCTCACTTTTTATGGAAGAAGAGGAATCGGAATACTTACATTTCTTCTGTCACATGGGTTCTACCTACTCGATAAGGTTTCCAACGTGAAAAGGCTTTGGAATTATTAGCAAATGAAGAAAAGTTTTCAACCAACAAGACAAAATTTGATGGAAAAACATGGGCGTCAAGCAGAAAGATGAAGTCAAGCAAGATGTGCTTCCTTGGCAAGTAAAGCAAGGTACATACCGTGATGCCCAAGTTAATCGGTCCTCTTTTTTCTTCGTTCGTTG